CAGATTCATGAGGACAGGAAGAGACAAGAAGCTACAGAACCAGAGCTTATTAACAGCGACAGTGCAAGACAATGGGACCAGTCTGCAGGGGAATTGATTAATGAAACCTGAGGGACACACTGTTACACAAAAACAGGTTAACAAGGCACTGGCCTTGAGATCCTAGAACTGCAGCTTAACTCAGCTGTTCATGGCAATGTTCCTGTCATCTCCTATCACACAGCACCATACACTCTATTTCTTAACAGGGATCTGAGGAAGCAGTCCAAGAAACCCTGTGGCACCAAGATAAAAATCTTACTACCTTCTCATACAAACCCAGAAGATACTCTTGAGGCCAGGAAAAAGGCTGGATAATGTTATTACAGAAGAGGAAAGGTTATTTAAGTGATGCATCTGGAGAGATCCAAAACGTGATCTGTGTCACATGTGTGACTGGTTCTGTTCCAGTAAATGGGTTTCTAATGGAGACAGTGGCACAGGACACCTGACTTATAGCAGGGGAGCTGTGCTAAGCATCCACTCTACTTAAATCTTCCAGCTCTGACTATAAAATTCCTTTCAAACAAAAATTTAGCAGGAGGATTATCAATGTCATATCAGAGAATATCAAACATTAAAAAAGGAAAAGTGACAGTTGCCATGCAATGCCATTACTTGCATCAATTATTTTAAAATAATTGTTACATTGAAAGAACCACCTCCTTTATTTTTCTTATTTGAAGTAGTAATGAAAAAAATTTAAAGCCTGCCAAACACTTATACTTACTTATACTTGTGAGCAACTTTAATCCTGTGAGTAGTTCCACTGGAGAAACAGAACTACTAATGACAGTAAGTACCTGCCACTCTTCCAGCACTGATTGACAGACACAGAATCTACTTAAGGAAGTGATACCTGCACAGGAATCAGTTGACATCTCCTGCTCTTAAAACACTTTTAAAGTGGAAGCAAAGAGCTACTCGACACACAAACTAATCACACAGCAGCAAAGAGAGAACTGTTTTCCTTGCTTCTGATTATTTTTGCAGCAATAATAAGAAGAGGCATCACTAAGAAGAGGTACAAAATTGTTGAGGCAGAAACATGTTTGAAGGATGCCCCTTTTAAGATAGAAAAAAAGCCCTGAAAGTTAGACATATGGTACACACATTTTTGCAGTCTTCAAGTGACCAGGTAAAACTGCAAGAACTGATCTTGAAGTTTCAATTCCTCTTCCATAAATTCATGCAGACATTTCATCAGCTGCTTGCTACTTGATAGTACAGTTTGCATGGTCTTAGCACAGAGATAAGCTTGAGGCTTTGGCTCTGCAGTTAGATGTGTGTAGAGATGTCAAGGATAAAGTCAGAAGAACTGAACTGCCTTTGAACAGAAACCAAAGGCTGAAGGCATATGAGAAGCTTGGGTTGATTTAAGGGCTTCAAATTTATTATGAAAAATCAGTGTTTGCTTTCAAAATACCTCTAAATGTTCTTTATTGAGGTTTTCTCAAAGACAGGAAAAAAAAGTCATGCTTTGCTACAACAGATTTTTTTTAATTGTTGTGTTTGTACACAACTGCCAGCTGTAGCCCAATCAGTGGGTGCCAGAGTAGACATCCCACTACAAAATCCAACTGGAGGTTGTAAAAATGCTGCTCTGTCAATGGGGGAGGCAAAGGTTTGGCCTTGGGTAACTCAGACCATCCATTTTTTTCTGCCCTAGCTTCCTCCTATGTTCTGGTTCACTAGGATCCTTTGTTACTCTGTAGAGTGGACAATCTACAAGAGAGAAAAATCTGACTTGTTCAAAGTTGCTTTCCAGATGTGAAGAACCTGCTCCCCACATCAGCCTACAGTGTTCAAAGAACAAAAGCAAGACTTCTGTTTCTCAATGGGAAATAAGCTTAAATGAAAAATCACATCTTCCTTGGTGTGGTTAGTGCCATAAGAATAAATTAAGACAACAGGGTTCTCAGAATCAGGAAATCTTCACATTCCTTTCAGAGATTCTGATTTGAATTCAGAATGTGGCTTCATAGAGGAAAATTATACTTGCAGTTTTCTTTGAAAACCTTCTCAGCTCTGTTATATCATCTGTGGTAATGTGAATTGAATGCAGTAAAATACATTTTTATAATTGATTATTCACCAGGTGTTAAAACAGCTAAAACACCAAATGATCTACATGACATATGCACATGCTGGAGTGACTTAATTTGTTATAATGTGTAACTTCTCAAGAAGAACAGCTTTAGATGATCTGCACTGCTGAATCCCAAAAATGCAGTCTGCTCTGTCATTATTTAAGGAGTACATCCTAGAATACACATGTGAATTATTTGTAAATATGACTGACTCACTTGCTTTATTTTTAGCACAACACTTGGGCTGTGTCTTGTGGCAAGCTTTTGCAGTGGTGATGTACCATACTGAAGTCATTAAAATGGCTTCTGAAAGTTTTTTCATGAACCCAAGCCAAAGTCACTATCTCACCAGTTAAATAATGCATTTCATAATTACAACAAATATTTAATTTTCAAACAAATATCTTTTTGCTCTCTCAGAATCAACAGCAGAAGTTAACATAATGGTTCACAATTAATAAGGACCCAGGAGAAAACCTCACACAATCAGTACTTTTCATCTACATATTTATGAAATATTATCAACTATTCATGTAATATTTACTACTGGGAGTGGTGAATATGACAGTCATCCTCACTGGAGAGCTAGTCAGTTTTGTTTAAAATGTTGCAAGCAGCATAATTCAGTTCTAAAATTGTTATATAGAGATCAAGGGACATTTTTAGGACCCAGATGTTCTGCATGAACATTGTTTTCAATTAACTGAATCAAAATTTTCCTAACTGATCAATCCCCATACTCTTCTCTGGAAACCTCTACTTACAGCCACAATGTGAATCACCCTGCAATTCCCCAGAGAGAGCAAATCCTACAGAAACCTCTCTCTGATGCAGCAGTTACCTAGCAGCAAAACCTAGCAACCCTGTAGTATGAGATTAATCCCAGAGCAATCATCATAAAGTAATATCTAAAGGATATTTTATTTAAGTATGCCATCCAAAGGTATATAAAAATGCAATGCAAAAATCCTCAGGCTTTTAGCTGTTCAGCTACACAAATTAGAAAAGACTACCCAAAAGCACAACAAGCTATTTATTTGTTTTCAGCAAGGTCTCATTTGCTCAGCTCTCCCAACAAAGACAGATAAACCCCCCCAGGTTTACAGAAGAATGCACAAGCCTCTTAAATGTGACTAAGATATTCAAAACCTTTCCTTAGCTACAATTCAATGTTCCAGCTGTTAAATCCCCTAGGCCCTACTGCTGAACCATAAGTGCAAAGTTCTTCAGGTATAGGCTCTGCTCAGCTGCTTGGAACCAAAGTCCTATCAGGGCATTCAAACTAAAAACTGCTTCTCCTTTCCCTTCTACAACACAGTAAGCATTTTCCAATCACCTTAGTGTGACCAGGACACACACAAAGACAGCCAGACATAAGCTCTCCTTGTTCTGAGCTGTCCATTTGCATTTACCCTACCCTCACCTGAGATGAAGGGGATTATTCTCAAGGACTGGGACCTTGGTGCCAAGAGGATAAAGAGAGAATGTGAGTCAGAAGGTAGCATTTTCCTGGAGGAATGGGATGTCCTTGCCCCAAACCAAGGAACAGGAAAAGCTGGAACTAGGTTTCTTACCTCCTTAGTACAAGCCTACCACAGCCCATAACATCTCTCCGTGGCTGTCTGGGGTGGTTCCCACACAGCTGACTGGGAACCCACATCCTCCACTGCATGGCTGAAGACCACCAGGTCAATGGCACTTAAAACATTTGTCGCAGTAACACTCTGTGAAGTTCCTTTCCAAATATAGTCTAATCCCTCCTTGAGCCTTGCCTTTGTTTGTTTAGCATGCTCTGATTCCACCGAGAGCTGCATATAGACTTCTGAAGGTCAGCTTGGTCCTGGGCAGCTTTTAGAGCACTGCTGAGGCACAACAGCAGCAAAATCTCTGCGTGTGCCCTAAAACTCCTTTCATGCAGACAGAGTTTAGAACTGTGCGGTAGAAAGAGAATCCACACCTCTACTGAAACTCTGTATTTTCCCCTCATACTAAATGTTTGGCTTTCCAAAGGTATTTGTACTTGTGCATTGCAGTGTGGATGCCTACTGCTTAAAAATGCTTTGGCATCCCTAGGTAAGATGCAAATTAGAAGCACCAAAAACTGCAGTCTTATTGTTAAAAGGATAGGGGAGCACAAGCTGAAGTGCCAACTTTACTGCTTTGCTTTAATTACACAGAACAAGAAAAACTATCCTCTAGTGGGAAGGGGAAAGGATATTCAAGCCTTGCATCAGTTAAGCCCTCAGGTTTCCTATGGGACTACTGAAGGGAGTAGTAAGGGTGTGGACACAATCTGAGTCAGATTCTTTCTGAGCTGCCATGTGACAGCAACAGGCACCACCAAACCGTAAGATTAAATGGGACCAGGAAAACTGATAGGAAGGAGCTCCGGTATATATCCCTGGGTTGCCAAGTCATGTATTTAACTATAAAAAATACATAAACGGACTATGACAGTGCTTTTAAGAGAATGGTTTGGCCACAGTGATAAAAAAGAAGCCAAAAAGAAAAGAAATGTTCTGGTGGTTCTTGTCCTTCAACACAAAGAGGAGCTTTAACCATGCCACGAGCACTCCCCTGTGCAGCCCACACACACCCTGGCAAGGCACATTCTGGAGCCCACAGACTGACAGAAATGCCTTTGGAATGCATCTGCCAGTGAGGAATTACAACCAATAAAGCTGCAAGATTTGATTTTGTTTCTAATTGTTCAATATTGAACTATTATAACATTGAATTAATTTTTCTCATGTCCAGCTATATCCACAACAGCACTCTGTTACAGCCAGCTCTGACTACAGTCAGCAATTGATTTTAAGCACTTCTGCAAACACCACTGAGACATTAACATCTTCACATAGCACTGCTTACCTTAAATCTTTCTGAAACCCCTTCAGTGATGCTGATTGTGAATTCAGCTATTTTAGGAGTACGGAACTTTCCCTTCTTGCGATCAGGTTCATATTCTGTTTTTGTTTTGACCACAACCTTTAAGAAAAAGAATCAATCACAAAACTGTCAACTAAAGCTGGCACAAAAACCTTAATTATTCTTTAACTCTTCTTTTATCTACTTACAAGCACATCTAGCACTGTATCTTTCCCCTCCCCACTTTGTGTAATTCTTCTTTGAAAGTGCTAAATTATTAATTATTTTTCCAGTATATCAGTCATCAACTAACTTACCTCTCAAAGTGGTTTTGATGGACCTGTAGCAAGACTTGTTATGCAACAGTTTCACAAAGGTTCCATTTTTTTCATCTGTGGTGATACTGTGCTCTTATACTAAGCAAGGATAGGTCAAATCCAAATCATGGACCTTCCCACTTTGTACAGTTCGAAAACAGCCACCTCGATTTGCTTCAGGGAATTCCATTACTGGGATTTCAAACTGGACACCAACAGAAGATTATTGAAGAGTACCCATAAAAATCTTGCAGATGACAATGCCATGTTCTTTGATGGCAGGATTTTGAGTTTAAAAAAAAAAGTGAAAGAACCCATGTAGTCTAGCTGCTATTCACCATGTGACAGACTATGGCCCTTGGCACTCTTATTTTTAACATCTAATTTCTGAATTATCAGCTGCAAGCAGCAAGATGCACACGAACCCTTGTGTTAATGAGATTTCTGCAAACACCCAAGGCTCTTCAGTTTGTTCCTTGCTATGAACTACGGCCCCAAGCTACACAATTTAGCACCTTAGCCGTATTCCCAAAATACTCATTACGTCAGTCGTATCTCTAGCGTTCTCCCAGGCATTCTAATCATACAAAATTTTCACATACCTAACCTATTTGCCTCATTTTTGTCTTCTGCATTTTTCAGGAACTTTTTCCAAGTATTATTCTCAAGCTAGTGTACAGTTTATTGTAGTGATGGCACTATTACAATTTGCTCAATTTCCTCTGTTTTTCCAAGGAATAAGTATCTACTCTTTTAGATTTCTGAAAATCAAGTTCTATCTTCAGCACAGCCCATGGTATTAATAGCAAATACATTAATCACAGAAAGGCCTGGGTTGGAAGGGACCTTGAAGATTATCTTGTTCCAACCCCATGCCCCAAGGTAGGGACCCCTTCCACTAGACCAGGATGCTCAGAACTCCACCGGAAGTGGCTTTGAACACCTCCAGGGATGGGGCATCCTCAGCTTCTCTGGGCCCTGTGCCAGGGCCTCAGCACCCTCACACTAAACCTACTCTCTGTTTAAAGCCATTCCCCCTGGTCTGTCACCACATCCCCTTGTAAACAGTCTCTCTCCATCTTTCTGAAATTAAGACAGTGACACTTCAGGTAGCCAGACACTGGAATGACAAGCTTCGGGCTCCCTGAGTGATGCCTGGAATTCTATCTGTACCCAGACTCAGTACTAAAAGTTTATTAGACACTTTCACAGTATTACTTGTTCAGGACATAGGTTTAAAACCTACTTGCCTATTTTCAGCTACAATTAGTAATATAGTAATATACTGTTTAACTTTATAGCTGCCCAACAGCATCATGGAAGTTAACCACCTGATGATTCTTGGAATGCTTTTTAACATCTTAGTTCCCTTCCTCCGCCCTTTATGTTACATAATCTCAGGCAACTCAAATCACATTCAGCTGACACTGAATGTACAGTTCTAACTGCTTGGTTATGTAATGTCTTCTTTTGTTTAACGTATCTAAATATGAATTTAAATCACTTCATCCCTTTAATTTAGAAACTGTCAAAATCATCAAATCCTTAGCGCTGTAGTCACTACTGTTCAAGAAGTTATGCTTCACTGCCATGCTGGAGCCTTGCAAGGGGATAATAAGCATAGACATGTGAAGTATGTACTTCTATTCATTATACATGAGTGTCTGCATACTTCAGAATTTGATCTGTGTGTCAATCTTCTCTTAATACAGTTTCTTATTTTCCTGTCAGTTGCTCTGCTCCTGCCTTTGAGTCTCTAACAACCAGTAAAGGGACACTGACATGACTAACCAGTTACAGAAGGACACCAGCAGGACCAATAAATTTAATTTTCCCCCTTTATGTTTGCAAAAGGAAAAGAAAGCTAATATACCATTGGACAGTGGCGAGAAGAAGAACCAATCAAATATTCCTTTATTTAAGTCTCTAGCTTAGCTGGACATTTGCTTTCATTCAAGGCAAATGCCATCCAGGTGGGAGGAGCTGTGCCCCATTCTGGCAGGAGCAAACGACACAGAACCCCCTGGGCTCAGACAGAGACACTGCCCAGGTTAAAGCTATTACCATGCAGATCTCTCCTTCAGACTTCTGCTTAGCAGTGCAGGAACAGAATAAATTCCTTTGGTCCTTGGTAATCGGTTATATGCAGTCACCAGTTGGCAGATGTATCCGACACGGTAAGACTCAGCTTGTTCCAAAGCCTCAGGGTGCGATTTTGTCCTCAGTTACAAGATTTACACCCATGTAACTGAGGGCATAAAATGGACCCTCAGGCTCCTGAACAGCTGTTATGGCTTATTGCATTTACGCCTGCCAACTGGTCACCACACACAACACAGAATGGTGTTGATAGCAATTAAAATGGAGTCACACATTTATTTGTATTGCCTACAAGCAACACTCTACCGAGGAAAATTCTACAAGCTAAAACTCTTTACCCTAAGTTATGTGGATTTTTTTGAGGTTTGAGGAATGTGTAGCTACCAGTTTATCTAGAAGATGAATTCAGCTTGTGGAAGACACAAGGTCAAAAATAAAAACTGTATGAAGATCACAAAGCTTTTTATTAGCAGAGGCATGTGGGAAATTACAAGTAAGACTCCTATTAAAAGAGGATACTGAAAACCCTGAAAAAATCCTACTCCTATGTGCCTCACGTTAGTAGCACTTACTGAATTCTTTATTGTGAGGACAATAAACATATTTACAGGCTATTGCATCACCTTTCTAAATATTTAAAATTAAATCCCTAATAATCAAGGCATTTAATGAGGAATGCAGGAAGCACATTTCCCTTCCAACCTGCAAGCAGCTCACTGGACTGCCCCCTTCCAGCTACAGAGGATATCTGAATCACCTATTTGGAGGGTTTTGAAGAAAATAAATTGCCAAGGAGAAAACTCAATGGCCCGTTCTCATCTCATTATTTCAGCTTGTCTGAGGTTAGCATTAGTTTCTTACTGAAGCACAGAAGGAAAATGGAAGTGCTCTCTGTTGCTAGTATGCCCACCTTACAGAGAAATAAGGCAGGGCACTATTCCCCCATCAGGGGGGCATCTTCTGGACAGAGAAAATTCGTATTATTCACAGACAATACACAGGACCTTCTAGATGCAAGAAAGAAAAATACAGAATAGGAAGGGCTATGACAATACAGCACAGAGAAGCTTGCATTTGTATAGTATATGTTTCATATAGCAGCACTGAAATCTCTACATGCTTACAGCTACCATTTCACACTGATTTTTAATGCAGATCACCATTAGTGGATTTTCATGAGCTTAGCTGTTTGAGTTTTTCCCTAGAGATAACGAACATGCATTGAAACACCCAATATTTCTTGTCATTCCTAAGCTGCTCTCTACCCATAACCTATTCTTTTGTTGTTTGCCAGAGATTTGGGTGTGATTCTCCAGGGTGGAAACTAAAGCCTACTGTACCTTATCAGGAGGTGGGAACTGGAGCTGATTGACATCCAGGGGTGTGATCAGGGGGATGGTGTCAAATCCATCCTCCAAAAGGGGCTGCTTTGTGCTCTTCTCGCTGAAATTATTCCCCAGTTTCACCATTCTTCCAGGATAGAGGGATTTTTCTGCTGGCACACACAGGCACACACGCAAAGAAATGCAAAATATCAGAAACCAGACCTCTTCCCAGCCCTCGGGGACCCGAAATACCTTCTGGAAAAAAAAAAAAATTAAAATTAAAAACATACATGTTGGTCGCTATGACTCGGTTAGCTACTGGCGTCCTGGGAAGTACGAACGACGACCAGAGCTTCTACTATGGAAATTAGCAACACCCCAACCCAGCAGGCACACAAAGCAGCACCCCAAATCCCCGGCACGCCAGCCTGGTGCGAGCGATGCCGGCGGCGCGGCCGGTGCGGCATCGCCCGCGGGATGCGGGATGCGGGGGCTCGGCAGCCCCATCCCGCCGCTGCCCTCGCCCCCTCCCCGCCGGGCTCCCCTCGCAGGGCAGGGCCGGGCCGGGCAGGGGCCGCGCTCGCCACTCACCGCCGCGGGTGCCGGCCCTGGCTCGGGGCGCGTCGTTCCGCCGCGGCCGCGCAGCGATGGCGGAGCGGGGGGCGAGGCGCGGCTCTCCCTCCGCGGGTGGCTCGGGGCGGCCGCAGCGCCGGGGCCGTGACGCAGCCGCCGCCTGGCTGAGGCAGCTCCGGAGCAGCAGCAGCAGCAGCACAAAGGGGCCCCGCGGGGACGAGCGGGCGGCGGCTCCCCCAGCCGGCGATGGCGCAGCGGCAGCAGGTGGAGGGGGCGGCGCGTCCCGCCCGGGCCCGCNNNNCTGCCGTGCCCGGGAGCCGCCGCCCTGCCCCGCTCGGCCCTGCTGCTGCTGCCCGGCACGGCGAGCCCCGGCGCCGCTTCGGGCGGGAGGCTGCGCTAAACGCGGCGGCGGCGGCGGCGAGGGGCCCCGGCCTCGCCTTCCCCGCCCGCTGCGCTCGCTCCTGCGGGAAGGGACGGGCGTGCGGACAGCGCGGTGCGGGCCCGGCCCGAGCCCGAGCCCGCTCTGCAGAGCGGGGCATGCGAGCGCCGGGGCGTATTGCGGAGCCTTGCAGCCGGGAGACAGAGCACACCTTGCAGCTCGGCTGGCTCGGGGCGGAAAAAACCCAGAGCCATTCGTATTCACTGCGCTGTCTCCTGTAACCCAGGGCAGGCAGCATGCTGCTCTTGCAGTCTTGCAGGTGCATTGCTTCCCAGCCGGTGCAGGGAACGCGCTGTGGGCGATGCAACAGGTGCCTGCGGTGGGGGGCGGCTCGGAGAGAGGAGAGGCAGACAGGTGCTCAGCCTGGAGCCAGTTTCATGCTTCAGAACCAACCAAGCTCTTCTCGCAGATGCCAGCATGAGCAGCCTCTCTGCGTGGTGTATTCCAGTTGCTCAATCCAACACGCATCCCGTTTTCCTGAGATCAGTGGTCTCTAATGCTAAAGGCCCTTTCTGGCTGTGGCACAAAGCAAGTCGTGTCTCCAGCTATGGATCATCCTATCTCATTTGTTTCTCCCATCAGCGTTTTGTCCTGACTAAATAAAGTGTAAAATAAGCTTGTCTTACCTGAGTAACATTTCATAAATCACACTTGCATGTGTTAAGTAGAAGAAAAGGGGTTTCATTTTATATAGAAAATTGCACCTGTGAGTGGAAATGAAGGGGTTTCTCAGAAAACAAGAAACACTTGAATTATTTAATTTTGGCAAAGCCCTTGTCTTACAAGTGTTCTTGAACAGAACAGATTAATAAACCACAGAAGGATGAGTGTAATCCGTTAATTTGTATGTGAAGCCAAAGTAATTCAGAATCCAAATGACATCAAAAGTCCAAGCACTGATCAGAAGTGTATTTGACAGTATACTACAGGGAGCCCAAATAACACAGCAAATGGTTTAACAAATTGACTGACTAGGTTCTTTCATCTCTAGCTTTTGTGATTTTATATTTGAGCCCTATTGGCTGAAGATTGTCAAAAGCTTAGGGCAATTGTGTATTAAGTGTGTGCCCGAGGAAGTATCAGTATTGGATTAAGATGAATGGATTTCAATTCCCCAGCTGGCTGGTGAAGTATTTTTTTTAGTTATGTGAGCATGTGCACAGGTTACTCAGTTTCTGTTGTAGAGAAAAGGAAAAATCTGGATAGCCTGTTTACAGAGTGAGTTATTCTCTTTGCCACTGTGCATTAAAGAATGGTATCTGCTTTTGGTCTCAGCTGGTTTTCTAGTCTTTCAGAAAAAAATCTTTTTGTTAAGCAGCTGAACACTAGACTTGTTATCACTCAGTACTTACACTCGGTGTACACTAAGTACCCTAAGTCCTCATTTTCATTTTAAGTGCATGTCACCCCATGTACTGTGACATAAGAAAAGCTCAGTGTTTTTATGTGCATGTACATGCACACACAAATGTCTGTGACTAATAAGTGTCTTTATTTGCCTGCTATGTAAAATGAGCCATTAAGAGGCTTTAATTTCTGACATCAAACAGCCAACTCTAGCTTGCTACTGGTGGTTTTAGAAGAAAAAAATGAAGTAACTTAGTTATAAAAGCTTCCTAGTCAGAAGTTCCTGCCTTAACAAGGCAAAAAGTTGTATGTCAACTTAGACATTATTTGAAAATAAATTGACTCGTGGAAACTAGCACACCTCTTTTCTCCAGGGCTCCTGCTGTAGGTCATTTTGCTGTGGTTTTAAAGGGGTTTTAAATTTGGGGAAGAAACTGTCCTCTATCTTCCACAAAGTAACTCGGTTTCCAGGTGCTTAACAAATAATCCACATCCTTGCTGAGCCACTGAAGTGTCATGGCCAGCAATCCTTATCTCCTGTTAGATATCTCTGAGGAAACATGGGAGCTCCTTGTGGGTATTTGGGCAACAGGAAAAGCAGCCAACACACAGAATTGATGACCTAGTGGCTCCTCTCATTAGGTCAGATTGTACCCTGATTTACTCACTCTGAAACCCTAATGGTCTCAGTGAGGTTAGAATTCACCGTGTGTACCATCAGCCTGACTACGAAAGCAGAAAATTTGCACTTCACCATCAAGCAGGTGGAGTACTTCCCAAGGAAGTAACTACCAGAGGAAATAGAAAAATGGAAGTAATGTGGAGCTTGTGTTTGCTGGCACTTGATCTAGGAAAAGATACAGAAGTCTTTTTTTCAAATAAGAATAGGCCCATGTCTCATAAAAGCTGGAGAAAGAGCAATTGCATGGGACAGCCTACATTTTCACCACTTACCAAGCCCTCATTTTGAAGAACAAACATGAAGAATAAAGTCACACAGTCTCTACATATGGAAATTAAGGAAGTGTTGTGAACTGCTGTGTTCCATAGGGCTGGACTTCTGATTCATCATGGGCAAAACATTTAGAAATTACAGGGTTTTTTTTTTTTCCTGCAGAATAGTTTTTCTAAAATTGAGGCCGAAATTGTGACAATTAATCTATTATTTGTGATTTGATGATGCTTTATTCAGGTTGGCCACATGTCTTTCTCTTTGTGGGTTGTAGTTTACTGACACAATCAACTGAAATGGCTCTTCTGGAGCCATTACAATTTGTTGTGTGAGTGCAGCTGAAAACACTTCAGTGTGCCATGTGTCACGCTTTGTCAAGTTAACAGTTGATGTTTCCAAATCAGGATTAGGAACAGTGCTGATGCAGTGAAATGCTGCAATTGCTTGTGCAACATAAGCATTCATGAAAGGGAACAGACTCTGCTGAAGGAGAGCAGCACTACCTATTGCTGTTTGTCAGGTGTCCCAGCAGCTTTTTTCCCCTAAAGCATCACGTCCCTTTGGTATCTGAGGCTACTTACAAATACCAAAGAAGAATAGCATTCCCACCAATCCATTTTAGGAAGGCAATAAACTTCAGAAATTCTATTAAACTCTTGGGCATCAATAGAGAAACTTGGATTAAGTGATGTACCAAAGGAGGTGCAGGAAATGCATGGTGAGCCAGCCAGGTAGAGCTGCATGGCCACTAGCACATGATGCAGCCAGGAGTTCACCTCAGCAGGCAGGGCTCAGTTTATACAGCCCCTTTAGTCCCTCCCTCTGCCCAGCAAATCCACACTGGCAGAGCAGGGAACCTAAAACTTAACTTTTTCTTTAGGATTTTATGCTTGGATTTCTATGTGTGAGAGGCTTATGTGTGGACAACTCTAGAATTGTGGCATTCATGCTGAAATGGGTAATGGATAAATGAATAGTGAGCCTGTGCATGAACAGAAGTGATACCTTTGTGACAGAAAATAGCAATATGAAAAATAGTGGTTTTCACTTGCTGCCAGATTTGTAGAACTGTCAAATGAAAATGAAGATGTTGTTACTGAAGAATGCACATCTGTTATTTCCAAAATTACGGGAAAGAATGGGTTTGAATTCTTTGGGGAAAACTGAGAAATGGTCACTGGAAACCTGTGAAATTCTTTAAAACACAGAACCATTTTTCAAGTCTGCCATCCTTAAGCTAATCATACTAAATTCATACATAGTTATCTAAATAAGATTTTTCGGAAAGAATGCAGCCCACATTGGAATAATGCTGAGACAGAACAAGTTCTAAGCACTCAGATTCTCAAGAACAGTATTTCTCAATTGGTGACAAAACCATCAGTGATACACCCACATAAAATACAGGGCAGTAAAAGCCAGAAGGATTGCTCTGAGAATCAGTGCTCTGAGCTTGCAGGTGCAGCAGAAGGGATAAATTGTGCTGCAAGGCAGATTATGTCCTGTGCCTCCTCACACCATCTGTAGGCCTGCAGGTTCATCCCTCGGTGAGGAGAAGGTGCCAAAATTCAGCAGGGAGATGACAGCTCTGGGGCTGGGGAGAAAGGGAGGGGAGAATCAGCACAGGCAGATGCTTTGTTCTCCAGGTCTCCTGATATTCCCAAATATCTGATCCACCACTTGGCTAAGCTGGGACAGAGAAGTGACAGTCCTGTGATGAGGAGGCAAAGCTCTGTCTGGCGGAGGGATCTGGGGAGACAACAGTGATGGGATATACTTAAACACAAGGAAGCACAGCTTTAGGGGTAAAGTGAGGTTGATCTTTTACTGATCTCTTCCCAGGTTAATCCTGCTTATGATTTAAACAGTCATTTAAATGGCTAAAGTTACCTGATTTAGAGAAGCAAAATAACATTTTGGCTATTATACAAATGGATTTCAAACAGCATCTAAGTAACACAAGGTCATGTAGTTCAAAACAATCCTCTATTAATTTAGAGTATTACATGAATTTAAAGGATAAGATCAATTCCAACAGAAGCTTGACTTAACCACTAAACCATTTATTAAAAAAAAAAAAAAAGTGCATAAACAAACCTTTCGCCAGGAATGCTAGAATGTGATCCTGAACTTCTCTTTGGCCTTGAACCACTTCAAATTAATTGGTTTGCAGCCAAAGGAGGTGCATAATGTAACATCACAATTTATATTTAGGAAACCTCATTAGAAATGAAAAAGTTATGTAACTCCTCAGAGAAAGCAAAAGAAATATAGGACAAATTATACTCAAACACTGCAGTTAAATTATTTTAACAGCAGGGTAGCTTTTAAAAAAAAAACCTGTTAGGACAAAATCCTACATAGCATGAGGAAAAAAGCT